TCAACCCAAATAGAGTGATGAATAAAAGTTACTTCTTTATTTGTTCATATGACTTTCATTCCTGGACTATGAAATACATCTTCAATTACAGGAATAAGTTAATTTGGAAAATATTGCTGACCACTAGTGTGTCTCAATGCATTTTTCACATGTCAGGTAAATAAAAGTTTGTCTTTGCCTAAACAACTAAGACTACGCCTGCAAGCAGGTGCAGAAGCCAGAGTTTGATCCCTGGGCCTGCCTTGCCCACCCCGCCCCCAGGTGCGCTGAGACAGCAATTGAGACTGGGCGTGGTGGTGCAAGCCTGTAATCCCAGCTCTTGGGAGGCTGTAAATAGGAGAATCACTATGAGTCTAATCTAGTAGTGAGACCCTGAACATCTTGTAGCCCCTTCCCTAAAATACAATAAATAAATAAATAAATGTAAACAACTAAGACTAAATAGCATATTATACCTGAAATTATTTTGAAACCCTCTAGAAGTTAATTAATAAAGTCATGCTTCTTTTTTCTGGAAGTAATTTACATTTTATTTCCTAAGCTTCCAAATCTTTCTTCTATTATAAAAGCAACCACAATAGAGTTCCCTAACTTTGTTGCCCTAACTTACTACTTGATTCTGAATTGTAGAAATTCATCGATTCATTTTAACAGATGATTACTGCATATGTATTGCATATCTGGTACTGTACTATTTGTTACCTGGAGACATCTTTCAACCATCTATGACTCCAGTTATCCATGTAACAATAAGCAGATGGACTATGTCCATCATCCAAGTAATGATTCAATATAATCCTAAAGCAAATTTTGGTTTTGAGTTTGTTTTGCTGTTGCTGTTTGTTTCTGTTTCCTAGTGTTGTCCTTCTATATTTACCTAAATATTTGTATTTCCTGACACTAATTATCTAACACAGGGGGCAAAATGCAACTCAGCAGAATGGCCAAGAAGTCCCACAGGGCCGTGTTTATCCCAGTTGAGTAGAAGACCTTGTTGTCAAGTTCCGCTATAAAAATACTTCATTCACAGAGGTAAAGCTTCATTTATCCTACTCTAAATAAGACTAAGAGAAGGCTACTCACCCTGGCTAAAGTAAAATCAAGTAACTGCTCTCAAATCAGAAGCAGTACTTTTTGCATCTGTAATAAATGTGTCTCGTGGCTTAGGCCTGAACCAGGAGGAGCTTAACCTAGATAAACACAAGAAAAAATTCTTGGAAGAGAAGGTAAACTCTAATGCTGGTCTTCTGGTGTTGCTCCTTAAGTCTCTCTACTGAAACACTTGGAATTCTCTACATTGTAAAAGGTAAGGGCCTCCCCACTCAAGGCTGTCCTCGACCCTGGCCCCTCTGAGCTCCTGGCTTTACTTACTCCCTACTATTCAGTTGACTTCTATGGGTCTAACACCTCTTTAGAAGCCTAGATTCTATGTAGATCTTTCATTTTCATCTTTTAGCTATAACTAGCAAAAGCCATGCTTCTTATGTATCTGTATTTCCTGACATCCATAAAAATGAAATCCTAAAAAACACAGGTGCATCCTTATTATTGCTTAACTTTCTAATTTGTAAGTACTGCAGGATTTATTTCAGTCTCTTTAGCTCACACCAATAGAATTGTTTCCTCTTCTGCTGACAAAGATGTATGTGAGTTAATTGATTTCAAAATTCAATGTGTGTCTGCCCGTGCTACCCTCTATACCATTGTCTTTGAGTGTTTTCCTTTAGATGAGATATTTGTACTGTGATATCTAGGTTGTCAAACTCAATTCATTCCAAATTCATGTTTGAACACTGAAATGTTTGTGAACTGAACATATTTACCTTAAGAAATAATGAAAAAACAAATAATAGGTTCTGAGGTCCAACAAATACAGGTAAGCTTTTTTCCATGAATTTAATAAATGCTGCCATGTTTTTTTCTTTAACTGTATTGTAATTCTCATGAGTTTCCTCTTAGCTTCACTGCTGATGTCACTTACTTTCTTTGGGGCCATAGTTATAATATTCTGCATGAATAAAATACACCAAAAAAGCACAATGCTGAATGTTTGGACATAAGCACCACATGTTGTCTGGGCAAGAGGGTCGCTTAGACCAAAATGTCACCCCTTGGTGTTTGAGGCAAGACATGATGGATGACTCACTCTCTCCTAGTACAGGTTTTCTAAAGTCAGATTTCCAGCTGGACTATGGAACAATGATAGGAATACAGAGTTTTATTTTGTTTTGTTTTGTTTTGTTTTTCTTAAACTTTGTTGGTCAAATAATGGAAAATTCAAGGTTGGAACTTTTCCACAGCCAAGACATCAATGTACAAGAAAATTGTCTAGAGTCACCTTAGGAATAAATAAACCATAAAAAGAAATGCTTGGTTCCCAATTTTTTGTACTGATACCAACTCTTCATTCCTTAGTGTAGGCTATGAAAATGTATTAAGTGATATTCTATACTTTAATTCACTCCATTTATCTATCTCTTAGTTCAGACAAGTGAATCACTGTCCAAAATTCTGGATTTACTATGCCTATAAGTTTTAGCATTTGTGTTTCTTGTGTTTGTTTCTCTTCTCCTTGGTCTGTATTGAAATTTAATAGAAAATGGGGAAAGACTGTGTAGAGATCATTCTAGAAGTTGGTTTAAAATGGAAGTCTTAGAAAGAAAACTGAAAGCAATAGAAGCCAGAAACAATTTCAAGAAAAACAGAAATTGACAATGGACATATGGGATGTGAGGATATATATGAAGTTGTCAATTTGGCAGCATGACTTATGGAGCTACCATTAATTCACACCTTCATAGATCTATCACGAAATTATTAATCAAAATGTAGAAAATAGAAACATACAAGCCATGTCGGTGTGAAAAAGACAGAATTCTAATGCAAAGATACAGTATTATGTTTGAACATACTTTAAGAAGTTTAAATGGAGAACTCAAAGATTTAGTTATATGGATCTAATATTCAAGACAGTCTGAAAGGTGATGAATGTTTTAAAATAAAGATGAAATGAGTAAATAAAAAGCATTATCCATGGAGTATCTTTAGAGTTGAAACCACATAGTAATAAATAATATGTGTGGAGAAATAATCACACTAATTTTAATCTATAATCATAAATTAAATTATACAGTTATATACTGGACATGTGTAAAAATAGGGATAATTAGTGAGAATGATCTTATACATAAATAAAAGAAATACTAAAGAAACTTACAATATATTTCAAGAGATAGCTTTTTAATAAAATTGTAATTCCTATAATCAATTAATTACAACTCTAAATACAGTACTATGTTTAAGAAATTACTGTTTTCTAAAAATAAATCTTAGTATTATGATTACAAATCATAGAATTCACATACAACCCTGAAACAGGTCTAAACTATGAATCACACAAATTGTGTAAAGAACTTTGTAAACATAAATACTCTCTCATATTTGTCTTATTTATTAGTACAGATTTATTATTAATTAACTAAAATTATGTCATAAATGTTTTGTTGTTATAATTAGAAAAGGTAATGCACTTTTTATTGCTTAGGCTCTAAAAGTCATTTTTCCTTTGATTAATTCTGAGTATCATTTCTTCCAGTTATTATGAACTTTGACAATATTCAGCAAATCTCTACACTTTATGCATCAATATCATAAATTTCTCTTAAATTTATCATAAAGCCCAAATGAAACATCTACAAAAAATATTTATAATGATTTTTGGAACATGGCCTTATGGTTCATACAAATGTATATATTGGAGTAATTTTACAAGAGATCCAACATTAGATTAAGGACCTGGACATACATGCTACAAAAGAAGCTTTTTAGTTTACCTTATTGATTTTTATCAGAAAAGAACCAGGTTTTGCAATCATAAATGAGACAGTAATTTAATGCTGCAAACTAAAAGAAATATCCAACTTTAGATTCATGGAACTCAGTAATTCAAATATGCTACATAAAAATTAATCAATTATTTTTATAAATTGAACCTTAATGACAATTAAATAGAGTTCTTCAGGAGGAAGAAATAAAATACCATTTACCCCACCAACACATACTGAATATCTGCTTTGAACAAACAGCTCCCTTAAGAAAACAATAGTTAAGTGGGTGTGCTCAGAGCAGGTGGCCTGAAGAATGGCTTCTCTGTTTACAACACACCCAACAGGAATTTAGGGTCACTGTGACAAAGGGCACAACACTTGTGACGTCCCTGTGAGCAAAAGTCCCACAAATGTACTCCATACACTTCCACATGGCTTCTGGACAGCGCCAATGTGACAAGGCTCTGCAGCATTTAGTGAGGGAGGTAGGCATTGTCCACTGATCCATGGTGATCCATGGAAGTCCTAGAAGTAAAGACTGAATTTCTATTTTCAATAAATTAAAAATAATAACAAAAATAATTCTTTCCAAAAAAAAAGAAAACAATAGTTAAAAGTACCCCTATTTTATAAGATCACATTAATAAATGTTTGTAATCTGGTTAAAGAATTTGAAGAACTTAATCAAAATCTTTGATGAGTGTATATTATATTAAGTGATAAACATGCACTAAATTTAGTGAAATATATTGAAATTAAATCAAACATAATTACACGTCTTAGTTTAATGTTGAGTATACAGATGAAATGAGTTTAAGAAACTAGGCACAAATAGTATATAATGTGTAATTCTATTTATATCAAGATCAAAAATAGAGAGAAGTGTGTTGGAGGTTCAGTGATAAAATTCTTGCCTCCAAAAAAATAGGGAGAAGTAATCATGATACCAAAAGTCAGAACAGTGGTTACTACCAGAGAGGATCAGGGTGAACATGGGGCATTAGGAAGCCTTCTAGGGTGGTATTCTAGGTGCCTGAAGATATCAAATTTCACTAAATCACACTAAAAAGGTTTTTGCACTTTACTAGCTGCATATTAAACTTAAAATAATTTTCAAATTCTGAATTTAGAAACTCAAAATCTTAGAAAAGAATTCTGATCCTGAAGACCAAAATGCCCGTCTTTCATAACTCCACCTTGCCTATTTTCCTCCTGACGGGAGTCCCTGGACTCGAATGGGCCCATGCCTGGATCTCCATCCTCTTCTGCTGCCTCTATTTTACCGCCCTGACTGGTAACAGCTTGATCCTCTCCGTAGTCTTCACTGAGCTAAGCCTCCATGAGCCCATGTACTATTTCCTTTCCATGTTGTCCACCACTGACATTGGCTTGTGCATCTCTACTCTGGTGACTGTGCTGGGAATATTCTGGTTCAATGCCCGGGAAATCAGTTTCAATGCTTGTTTATCACAGATGTTCTTCATTCACCTCTTCACTTTCATGGAATCCTCAGTGCTTCTGGCTATGGCTTTTGACCGTTTTGTGGCCATTTCAAACCCCTTGAGATACGCTACCATTCTAACTCATGCAAGGATTGTGCAGATTGGTGTGGCAGTCATCATCAGGGCAACTGTCATTCTGACACCACTAGTCCTGCTCCTCACACGCTTATCCTTCTGCAGTAGCCACGTGCTGCACCACTCTTACTGCTTTCACCCTGATGTGATGAAGCTCTCCTGTTCAGACACAAAAATCAATAGTGCATTTGGGCTAACTGCAATTATCTCTACTGCAGGAGTGGACTCGGTCTTTATCCTGCTTTCCTATATCCTGATCATTCGCTCAGTTCTCAATATTGCATCCTCTGGGGAGAGGAAGAAGGCCTTCAGCACTTGCATTTCTCATATCACTGCTGTGGCCGTGTTCTACATCCCTTTGATCAGCCTGTCTTTCGTTCACAGATTTGGAAAACGTGCCCCACCTTTTGTGCCCACACTCATTGCAAATGTGTATTTGCTCATTCCCCCCGTGATGAACCCCATCATCTACAGTGTGAAAACAAAGCAGATTCAGAAAGCGGTGCTTAAACGTGTGTGTTCTAAAGGCATTCATTTTTAACAATTACTAAGCCCCTAAAGACTTATATCAAAGGTGGAAAAAAAATCACAAAGTGGAATTTCAACCCATTTAGTTTTACAGTTGAGTAGAACTAGTGGTCATCCAATTCAAACATCTTTAAGATATAATTCTTCCAAAACAATGTTTTCAGTTCTTTTCTTTTATCCACTTCTAGTGGATGCCTAATTCACTGTTCCTTTATGTTTTTGTTTAAAATTATGTCTTTCACTTTTAATTTTCCAATTATTCAGTTTTTTAAAAATTCAAATATAGAAAAAAAATCTCCTCCTTCTACACTTCAGATACACCAACTAAATGAAGTAACAAGAAATGTCTTCCACAATTTGAACTCAACTTTCACTTAAGTCATAATATTTTTCTCACTCTTGTTGTCCAGGAAAATTAGTCCAACTGTTTCTTCATAGGTATTCAGCTCTATTAATGGTTGTCTTTACTGTTGAAGCCACTTCCCTTGAAACCTCCTTCAAATTCTCTTCAAATTCAAATGTCTCAAGGCTCATGTTTAATGTCTCCTTCATTAAATTTCATAATTATGACAATGATGTGTGATCCTTCATTTCTGTAATTTGACTTCCATGGAGTTTTTTTTTATCTCTTTTGCTTTTATAGGTAAGTGGGCCCATGTGTGTATGTGTGCTTATATATTTATTAAAGTTCTCACAAGGCTGTAAATTACATGAATAAAATGCCTCAGTATTCTTTAAGCTCTCTACATATCTACCAGAATACTTTACCATAGCAGAAGCTCATTGACATTTGTTGAATCATACTGTACATAATAGTCCATTGGAATAATTTCACTGATAATTCATTCAACTTCATGTTTATTATGTATAAGAAATTTCTCTGATAATTGTCCCTTATTTTTCCTACATTTTCTAACAAATTATTAGAGTTTAGATCTTCCAAAATATATAGCTATAAAGTTGAAAGATTATCTTGAAACCTAAGATTTCAGAAACTTATTCCATTTTGAAGAAAACCCACTTTGACTAAGAAAAATTTAAGATTACTTTTCCAAGAATAGAAGTTTTCCAGACTTGTTGCAGCTTAGAGATATTTTAAAATTTCCTAGGTGCCAAAGACAAAAACCTAATGAACTATCCTTAACTGTTCACTGACATTCTTTCAAATCCACAAAGATTTATTGATCATTCTGATATTAAAATTTTGGATTTGCTCTTTTGTACTTAATCTAAGATACCAAAATCTTCCACCAAACTCGATTTTCTCTGGAGTCCCCAGTCTCCAATCTTGTTATTTTCCCTCTTTCCATTGTCCATGAAGTAGAAATATCTTTTTAAAAGCCTTTTTTACCTAAAATTTAATTGTACAAGATATAATGAATCTCACTATCTCATTAATAAATGATATTATAAAATAAAAAGGTGACGTGCTCCTTGCTGTAGTACCTCAAGTCCTCTATCCTCCTACAGACTTCACAAGTGTCCATTCTAAAAGTTTGATTTTTCTTTTCTTTTTCTATATATTTTAATATAGAGATGGGAAAAATAAAATGAAAGTGGATTTTTATGATTTCTATTTCAGAGAGTTGAGCTTCCTAGGAACAACTTTCTTTTGCTTTGAGAGCTACATGAACCAACCAGAACAATCCTACCCTTTTGTACTCCCTGTTCACCATCATCCTTGGTATTATCCCACTCTGGTTTCAGTGTCTGGGTCTCTATATATCAAAAATATCCAGTTGGTAAACTAGTTATACCCTGCAACTTGGTATAGAAAACACATGAAAATATATATTTAAGAGTGATTTCCACAGGCACTGTTCACATCAACTACAGTCATTAACTCCTTTCCTATTGCAATTAATCTAGCTCATTGCCCAAATCAATGCCCTAGAATTTGGCAGTCTGATTCAACCTACTCTACTTGAAATAACCTTAGCTTTACATAAGCTGA